CTGGCTATTTCTTATTTTCCATAACCTCTTCCAAGCATTCTTCTAATAACATGGCAGGCCTAAATTTGAAGTCTTACCTTCCTCTTGCTCAAGGTCTGGAGAAGGCACTAGCTATGGAAAAAGCATGCCTAAAGGAAGCAAGTAAGGGGGAACCTGGGTGGCTCAGTTGGTTAAGTGTCTGCTTTCGGCTCAGGTCATGATCCCAGGGTCCTGGGATCGAGCCCGCATAGGGCTCCCTGCTCTGTGGGGAGCTTGCTTTTCCCTCTCCTTTTGCCTGCCTCTTCCCCTCCTGTGCTTTCTCTCTCTCTGTCTCTGTCAAATAAATAAAGTCTTTAAAAAAATGAAGGAAGCAAGTAGGAAAGCAAAAGCAAGAAGCAGGATAATGCACAAATTGTACAATCAGCTTTTATGAGATCAAGAAAGTTGTCTATAATACACCATAGACGAGTCATTTAGTCTTACAACTTTTGGTGAGTAAAAATTTCCTTAAAGGAGGTATAATAGAACTATAGAGTCCTATGTGACTCATCAGTTGGGTGATTAGCCTACAATCAAATAGTACAAATAAAAAAGGAAATTAGAAATAACTAATATAAAAGGATATAGGTAAATTCCAAGCCATCCAATAACACTGTCATTCAACTGCTGCAGAGGAGAGAATTTTTCCGTGATGCTTCCATACTTACAGAGTGGAGATTCCCAGTGCTTCCTTTCTTTTAGCAATCAGCCCCCTTCAGTGGGCTCTTGATGTCTAGGTTTCCAAACACAACCACTAGCTCTCCTCTAGATAGTAATCTCCTATTTGAACTTTTCCATCTGGGATTTCTTTCTCAAACATAACCAAAAAAAAAAAAAAAAAAAAAAGACTGATTACATCCAAGTGAGTTTCCAAGGCAATGGCACAATATCAGCTATTTAAATGTTCCAGAAAAGTCCCTATTTCCATTACAAATATGTTCATTCCTAGACCCTTGCTGACCCAATTATGGTAGGTCACTGTAATTAGATCTCTTACAGTTACCATCCTCTTTTTTTCAAGCTGCATTTTAACCTGTCTCTTTTTTAAACACAATGTAATAAATATTAGGTTTCAAAAAATCACAAGGACAAGCAAAAAGAAAACAGTGTTTGCACATAAGCAGAGAAATAATTCACTGCAGTGTTTAATCTTTGTCTTTTTAAAACAAACTCTAGCTTTGGGAGAAATACTGCCGGAAACAGAAAAGGAAACAATGTCTCACATGCTTCCAAATGTAGTTGAGACATTATAAATAAAATATTTAGTGATTTAACCAAAATTTTTTGTCACCAAGCAATCCTGAGTTTTATGACTTACTATGAATTGTTTGTACACTGCATTGTATAAGATACATCAATTTCATCTTAAGTAGAATTAGCAGAGAATATTTACAGGAGTATTTCAGGAAGTCTTAAATCATTTTGGTGGCTTATTTTGAACTGAGCAAAAAATAAATATTAAAAATTAAAATATCTAATGGTACTTTCTTAAACTACTGTGTCTAGTTACCTGCTGGTTGTCCTTTTGGCATAAGACCATGCCAATATGGTGCACACCATATTCGGCAGATTCTAAAGAACTTTGAGCTTCCTGGAGTTACTTGATTTCTGGCACATTTTTCTTTAGTAGGAGGAGAGCCACAGTATTTTCTAGAGGTAAGACTTACTGTGGTGTTAAGCTTGGGAGTATAAGAATTTTTCTAGAAAGTCAAGAAGCTACAGACTTGACTCAGAGCTAGTACATACTTCAATATTTTTACTGAAATGGAGGATTGGATGAGATAGTAGAATGACTGCTGATTGTCGAAAGTATATTTATATAAAGAATTTAGGAACTTCCTTAGAAATACATCAAATTAAAGGAAAGAGGAATTTAGATATGACAAATTTATCTGTGTAACAATACTCTTATTATTGGAGATGGGTTTCAGTTTTGAGTATAGCCATACTGGTCTGGCTTCAGTTTGATTCCTGTAGGGAATGAGAGATGTGTTTTCTTCACCTCCAGCTTGCACTTTCTTTTAAATGATGAAAGTACTTATGAGGTACGTGGGTGTTGGATGGAAGTGTTTTGTTGCTCCTTCAATTGAGGCCCATAGGGTCAGTGTTATACATGGTCAAAGGAGCTGATAGATTGACATTTAATGTAGATAATCATCCAATTCTTTCTTTTTCATGGTAGGTGACACCCTTCAATAAAATCAGACAGCATTCAAAGCCCTTACTCTGTGTATTAGGGATACAGTGGGAAGCATGACAGACACAGTCTCATCCATGAGAACACTTATAGTCTCATGGAAGAGGCAGATCTTAAAAATAAGTACAACACTAAGTATATAATTACAAGAACGTGAGAACTTACAATGGGAGGATCTGATCTAATGGGGGTCCTGTGGGGAAAGCCTCTTAGAGTGAGATTTAAGTTGACATCTGCAGGATCACATAAATGGAGAATGGAGAAAACATTACAAGTACAAAGAAAAGCATGTGCAAAGATCCTGGGGGCAAGAATGAATTTACTGTGTTTGAGGAACAGAAAGAAGCTAGTGTGGCTGTTGCAAGTAGATTGAAGGGAACAGAAGGGGGATGAGTCTGCAGAAGTAGGCAAGGACCAAATCACAGAGGGCTTTGTCAGCCTTGGTAAGTGTTTTAATTTTATCATAAGAGTAATGGGAAGTCATAAACGGGTTTTGAGTAGGAAGAGACATGTTTAGAATTGCCTTATTGCAAGTCCACTTTGGCTTTTTGTTGGTGAATGGGTTACAAAGTGGCCAGAATTGATGAGGGGAACCTCTTGCAATAACCAAAACCAAGAGACATTTGTGATTTTGGACTAGCGGGTAGCTCTCAAAGTGTTGTCCAAGGACCCCTAGGGCACCCAGAGGTCCTTTCACAGGGCCTGCAAGGTTAAAAGTTATTTTCATAATAACACTAAGATATTATTTGCCCTTTAAATTGTTCTGACATTTGCACTGATGGGACAAAGCAATAATGGGTAAACTGAAAATTTAGCTCCCGTGAAGGCTCATAGTTACTGAATTTTTCATCTCAACATATTCTTGATGAAAAACTCCAAGTTTTATTCAAGAATTTCCTTGATGAAGTAGAAATATTTACTAATTTTATTAAATCTCAACGCTGAGTACACAACTTTTTAATATTGTGTGACAAAACGGTAAGCCATGTTGCTTAAGTCGCTCAAGGTTATTGTCAGCTTCCCATAGCAGAAGTTGTTTTTCTCTTTGTAGTAGCAGAGATCAGGTACTCAACGTAGCAGAGGGCTAAAGAGAGACAACATATGAGTGTGGACACTCTAAAATCAAGAGAAGACAAGAGATAAAGACAATGGGAGCATAGGTAAATATATCCGTGTGCATTTAGGAGTCATTCTGCAAAGCTATTCAGTCTCCCAGGTCTATCTGTTTCATAGTCATAAATAGGCTCTCAGTCTTAAATTGTCTGGTGGGTACTAACAATTATGGAATTATGGCTACAGTGGGTTCATAATGAATCAGGAGAAGGGGTTGTGTGCATCTCTTCCCAATTCTGCATTCAGTGATGTCAGGTTGTAGCTTGAAATCAAACATGGCAATCATACTTACATCACATTAATTCATGAATGCTACAAATCACACCTCCTTTTTTTTAAACCTGGAGAGCCAGTCGTTAAACATTTACTAGCACACTTCTGGTCCCAGGCAGGTCTCTGAATTCTTTCTCTCACGTTCCCAAGGCAAATCATTGGCTATCTCCTTAATCCCCATTTATTTAAGAATCTTTGTTTTTAAAAAATTTTGAGATAATTGTTGGCATTGTTAAAATGTAAATGTCTGGCATATAATATGTGCCCACTAAATATTTATTGAATGTTAATTGAATAAAATGTGGGTTGAGAAAAGGCTAAGAATATATATCTTAATTGCTATTGATATAATTTATTGTCTGTTCTCCCAAAGCACATATTGTGAATATAGCACTTACATCATATTAAAGTTATTTGTTTACATATAAGTGCCAAAATCTAGCCATTGAGACAAGCAATCTAATTCCTTAGCTCCCTTACTTCCAATTTACTTCCAAGAAGATATATTTAGAGAAGGAACTAAAATCTTAATTTCTTTTCTCAGTGATAACATATTACTTTAAATATTTCTAGGGTTGACATCCATTTAGGGAAAAAATACGGACTTGAGCATTTTGAGAGAGCCTCTGTTCAATCATGCTTTATGATCCTCTGCAAAGCCATCCTTCTCTAGTCAATAATTGAAACAAAAAAATGAGCTCACTAATAATCAATTCTCAGTCATTCAAGGATGAATGGTATAATTTGTGGAGTCATTTGTTATCTCCATCTTTGCTTTGCTTTTCTCTCTTTTTGGCTTCCTGCCACTGAATCTTTGCATTATTCATGAGAACCCACACTATTGCATGATTGGGGAAATAAAGGGCTCTGAAATGCAAATCTTTCTTTTACTGTTTGTTAGCAGTTCTCCAAAAAGTGCTGTTGCAGGAGAAGCAGGTCAGAACAATTAACTTAGATGAAATTTGTTTATATTTATAGATTTCAAATGTCCATTTAACATAAAGGTAGATCTGCTTAACTTTATACACTAAAGAGGGCCTAGAAACACTGCTTAAAAGTTGTTTAAAATCTCTAAGAATCTTGTATTTTGTCCATTCCTACAAAGAATCAAAAAATTTAAAAATCAGATTATAACCCCTGCTCCTCCAAAAAAGCCTTTTCACCATTTAAAAATGTATTTCCACAGCAGGTACTTTGTCATGATGAGTGCATTCGAGCATGTTCCTTGGAAGATAAACAGTGGAAGATAAACAAAATGTTGGGCTTCGGTTATAGCAGAGCCTTCCAAAAGAAATAAAGTGACTAGTTAATCCTTAGAGGACTGGAATTTGCTGGACTGTTAGCCAAATGAATATTTAGGAGATTGCCTATGTGTTTCTGTATACATGTGCACAAATCTTGACTCTCTGGTCTGAGGAAAGAGAGGAAGGAAGACAAATGTAGGACCACCGACCTCAAAACAGAAGGTAAGGATTGTAGAGAATACGTGCGTAGGGGTGTGTGGGTGTGTGTGTGTGAGCAGGTGAGGTGAGGCAAAAAGGAGAGTTAACTGTTGACGCCACTAGTGACACTTGGGGTTAAACAGCCAGAATCTCTAAGAGATTTTTCCTGATTATCTGCAAAGCTGCCATGATGGAAAGAAACCTCTGGCCTGGGTGAGGTTTCAGGCAGTCTTACTCCAAAGAGTCTTTTTTAATTGATGATGATGCCATCTCTCTAGTTTGAAGATTGAACTAAGTTTTATTACAACTCACTTGATCTTTTTGCCTTGCTGCTAAGTGTGTGTGAGTGTGTGTGTGTGAGTGTGTGTGTGAGTGTGTTTTCAGCAGTCTCTCGGGATATTGGAAAACGCCCAGGCACATTCACATAAATGTCCATTACGTTTACCATGCCGCGTCTCAGAGTGCAAAGACATATTGTTCTGGGCACAGAAGAGAAATCTAGCACCCTAAACCCTCTCACAAACCGGGTCTTGATAATCAGACTTTAAATGAATCCACATCAACCACATCCCTCAATTTCTTGTGTCTGGGGCAGCCACACTGCTGGTTGCACTGAGACTAGGGAAAAGCCCTTGTGTTCGCACTGCTTGGCAGGCCATAGCACAAGAGGAGCTCAAGAAGCAAACCAACACACTGAAGGTGCAATTATCAAGAGACTTATAAATGCTGTGTAGTTCCCAGAAAAACTGTTTCCTGCCCTGGTCAGGTCACCCTCCGGAATGATGTCTCATTTCCCTTCCTGTGCCAGTGAAGAGTGAAGGTCAGCCTCCTACTGTGGAGTAGGGGTCGGGAGAAGAGTAGAAGAACATGGATCTTTTATATTGGGAATAGTGGGAATTTTGACTTTATTTTAAAATCTATGCTATTTCAAATATTTAAGTCATGGCACATGTTACTGACAAATTTCAGGAAAGAACAACTTTGGTTTTTTTTTTTTTAGGTCCTTAGGAATTGTCCTATGTTCCTGAAATTTCCCTTGAGGCCTTAGCATATTTCTGTTCTTTTTGTGTGCTCTTCAGTTTCTCTTCTCACCATTAATGCAGAGTTTGAGCTTGTGAATCAAACAAATTCACATTATATCAGTAGAGATATACATTTTGAAAATATTCCTGTGAGTTGCTGTTTTACCATGTTATTTTTCCTGCATCAAGCAGCACCCTCTAGCAGAGAATTATTTCCCTTACACACAAAAGTGTCTCAGAATATTTTTCAGAAAAATGCATGTATTGCAAATCAAAAACTAACATGAGGCTGAAACATCCTTTGTGAAAACCTAAAGGAGGGATAATTAAGTACAGTTTTTAGACAGAAGACCCTGGATCCAGAATTTAAAATCATGTAAATGGCTTGGCTGGAATTATATAATCATACATAGGTGAAAAGGACAACAAAAAATTATACTGAATTGCAGTAGCTTTTTTTACTTCCTAATAGCACCACAATAAGACTAAATCACACCCCAAATTGCAACAAATCAGAAATAGTTCATGTTCGAACAATACATAATTTTTATTATCTATCTCATGTTAGTCAAAGTGATGACATTCTTTTATTCTTATTTATCAGGATGAAGGAAGGATTTAAGCTTCATCCTCTTCAAAAGGACATATAAGTAATTTTATTTGGAATTTAGTAGATATTTAATTCATTCTAATCACTTATAAATGTTAATTACAGAAGAGGATTCCTATATATTTAGTTTGAATAGTATTTCAAATCAATAAGTAGAAGTCAGCAATTGCATGACTACTAATATAGCATTCTGGATAAGAAATCAAATCTCCATGTAGAATTACATTTTAATAACTGTTATCATAACCAGGTATGTAGTTAATACTAACAAGACTTGATATGTTTTGTATGTCTTGCCCAGCGTGCATCTTTAAGTAAGGTCCACCTCTTATGCCTCATACCAGCTCACCCATGAGGTAATGCAACCCACATTCCATACCCAGTAATCCCAGGACTTGCCATCCAATTCCAGTTGCACCTGTTTGTTTCCCCTTGGATCACACTCTCACGGGCAGCCTTGCTCCAGATTGTGGTTCTAGTAGTAATACTTGGTTTTCCCAGCTATGATTCCTTGTACTTCTTAAAGACAGTGATTTGTACCCTCCATTTCCTTTCTGGATTTTGGCTCCTTCCTGTTGAATTCCTAACCTGCTTTAACATGTCAGGTTCTAGTCTCTAGGCTTTGTGGTGTCTGGCCAGTGCCCCAGTTGAGCCCATTTAGTATATTGCCATTACATATTTAAGAGTGAACTAAATAAGATTGATAGTAGTCGTGGTAGAGGCATTTTTATATGTTAATGAGAAACCACTTTTCTGACATATTTGCTCCAAACCTATATTTATTTCTTTTGGTAAAATGCTCTACTTACTTATCAGCAAAATGCTAATAAAAGTTGCTTGAAATATGAATTTAGGTCTTTTTCTGCATTTTGACCAATCCAAAGAATTTATTGATATTTGTAACTATCTGTGATTAAATGATAAATGACAATGTATGTGAAAGCATTTTAAATAGTATGAAGTGTTCTACAGGTGCTTATGGGGATATTATCATTACGCACAACCAGTAGTCTCAAGATAAGCCAATGTTTTAGCTTATTACTAAATCTATACTTGAGTCAGATTTCTGCGGGAAGTAGCTTTTCTACTATGTGAAATTTTGTATATGAATATCTCATTTAGGAAATTATTTTATAAATGCTGTACAAAAAAATAGTATCAAAATGAATTCTAAGAATAAATGTCACTTTGACATTAGAAGGAAGGGAAAAATGAAGGGGGGGAATCGGAGGGGGAGACGAACCATGAGAGACTATGGACTCCAGGAAACAAACTGAGGGTT